ATCATAGGATGAAATTTTAGGAAGCCCCTGTGTGTTTGTGTGCAGGGCCCTTGAAGAGTATAGGGACCCTGGTGCCCCCGGAGGGGAAGGGAGGGAAAAGGGTCCTGAGGTTGGACCCTACCACAGACTTGCTGGGTAACTGGGGCAAGGGTCTTTCCTGATCTGGACTCAGTCTGCACAGTGAGCAGTGGAAGGGACTATCCAAGCCCTGTGATATCTTCTCTTAGGTAGAGGGAGAGTCCCCCAGGATGGGTAGGACAGCACGGACTGAGGCCAGTTAACAAATACTGAAGGATCATGTATTGTGCGCCAGGCAGTGGGGAATCAGACTGGTGAGCTAGGTCCTAGTGGGGGCGAACAGACAGTGAATAAGTAAGCAAATGAATGAGAACCTTTTAATGAAAGTATTCTGGGGAAAATAAAACAGGACAATGTGATAGAGGGTGACTTGAAGGATGTGGATGTTAGCATGGTGGCAGAAGGGTTCTCTAAGGAGGTGACATCTGAGTGTGGTCTAAATGATGAGGAGTTGCTGGCTTTGTGGAGACCTGGGAGAAGAGCATTTTGGGCAAAGGGAGCAGCCCATGCAAAGGTCCTGAGGCAGGTGTGAGCCAGTGGGAACATACAGGAACACTGAGGGGGCCAGTGTGGCTGGAGCAGAGTGAGAAGCGGGGAGAGAGGAGGAGAGGAGGGCACAGGGCTGCCTTGGAGGAAGCTCAGGCTGGAGGGACCATGGATGTTTCTGGAATCAGTGGCAGCCTGGAAAGGCCTCAAAGGATGAGACGAGGGGCCAGCTCTGCCCACCACCCACTTCTTATTTCCATCTCTTCTCTGATTTTCTCCATTCAGGGATCGATTGGATTTCCTGGGCCCCAGGGACCATTAGGAGAGAAAGGGAAGCGGGTGAGTCTTGACCCAGGAGGGAGATGAGAGTGAAGGTCTTGCTTCAGGGAAACAGCTGTGCCTAGCAGTGGGTGGGCGCTGGGTGGCTGTGTCTACTCCTGGAAGCATTTGTGTGCACACATGTTCCTGTGTGCAATGCAGGGTATGTGTAGGTGATCATGAAGAGTGAAGGTCTTGCTTCAGGGAAACAGCTGTGCCTAGCAGTGGGTGGGCGCTGGGTGGCTTTGTCTACTCCTGGAAGCATTTGTGTGCACACATGTTCCTGTGTGCAATGCAGGGTATGTGTAGGTGATCATGCCTGGCATTATCATGCACGTGCCTGTGAGTACCTGTATGCATGAGCCTCGCAATCTAGATCAGACAGAGTCTGGGGGCTGCAGCCTGTGGGCTTGTGCCTGGGTGAACCAGCGCATGCACCTGTGTGTACACTCTGTGACTGTGGGCACAAGTGTGTGAAAGGGGCATGCACATGTGTGTAAAAAGACATGGGTATACACATATGCGTGTGCATTGCTGTGCACGCCGAGTGATGTGCATACAGGCAGGTGTTGTATTGTGATGTGTGTATTGTAACTGTGCAAATGGACATCGTGTATCACACATGAGTGTATGTGTGACTGGTGTGTTTATCAGGACCGTGTCCACATATGCACCCATGCATGCACATGGGTATACATGTTGCAAGGGACACATTGCATGAAAAGCTGTATATGTCACCCTCAGGCTGTCCATGGCCAAATACATGCCATAGTGGCGTGCAGTCACATAATAAATGTGTGTCTGTGCGGGCAAACATGCTCATGTGTCTGGACTCTGGGGGTGCAATCGTATGTGTAGCTGGGTGTCTGCGACCTTTGCATGGTTGTGAGTGTAAGCTGTATTTGTGTGTGTATATGAATGAAAGGATTGTGACTAAATATGTGGCAGTTCTGTGTTTCTGGGTCTGTAACTAGGAGCATTTGTGACTTTGTGTCATACCTTTGCACAATAATTCTCTTCTGCTTTCCCTCATCCAATTTATTTTTCAGGGGAAGGCAGGGCAGCCAGGGCTGGAAGGAGAGCGGGGACCACCAGTAAGAAAATAGAGAGCACCCTCCACCCCGTTGGGCCTGGGGGGCAGGGCTGGGCAGGAGGAGCTGTGAGAGGAGAGGTGGGGGAGAGGTCCTGAGTGGGCAGGAAAGAAGGTAATATTGGTGTCCCTGGTGGGGCAGGATGGGGGTCACGGAGGAAGGGGACCTGGAGGACTTGACCTCATCTCCTGAGTTCCCCCAGCCTCTCACTTCTGATCTTTGCCTTTTTTCTGTCCAGGGCTCCCGTGGAGAGAGGGGGCAACCAGGGGCCACGGGGCAACCAGGCCCCAAGGTATGGGATGGGTGGGTGATCAAGACCCCCCATGAAGCCACTCTGCCCTAGACTCGTCAAGTCCCTCCCAGTCCTTCCCAGTTGAGTTTGTTCTGGGACCTGAGTCTCATTCACTCTGTCCTAGGGAGATGTGGGCCAGGACGGGGCCCCTGGTATACCTGGAGAAAAGGTGAGTGTTTGTATGTGTGTGTCCCCCCCCCAGAACATGGGGGGACATTATAATGCAGTGGAAAGAGCACAGCCTCTGAAGTCAGAGGGCTGTGAGTTCAAATCCTAGCTCTGTCACTCGCCTGCTGTGTGACCTTGGGCAACTCACTTAACCTATCTGTGCCTTCGTTTCTTCCTCTGTAAAATGGGAATAATCATAATCCCCACCCCCATGGGCTGCAATGGCAAATTAAATGACTTGCTGCCTGGAGAGCACTCGGCCCCATGTCTGGCATGCAGTAAGCACTCAATATGTGCTGGCTCTTGTCATTATGCGGAGGTCAGGGAGAGGGCAGGCAGGAAGGACGAGACAATGACTTCTGGTTCCATTTCAGGGCCTCCCTGGCCTGCAAGGCCCCCCAGGATTCCCTGGGCCAAAAGGCCCCCCTGTAAGTGAGGACACCCTGATGGGGGTCGGGGGGAGGAGGGCCTGGGGAGGGAGGGGGCTCCATATCTGTGCCCCAACTCTCTCCCACCTTGTCCCCCAGGGTGTCCAGGGGAAAGATGGGCTACCAGGGCACCCTGGACAGAGAGGAGAGTTGGTGAGTGACCCTTGACCTCTGGCCTCTGGTCCCCTCTAGGCCCTCCCTTTCTTCCCCCCATGTGACACCTCATACTATTTTTCTTCCCAGGGCTTCCAAGGTCAGACAGGCCCACCTGGACCAGCTGGTGTCCTGGGTACTCAGGTCAGAGTGGACCCCACAAGCCTCCCCCATTTTGCATCAGTTGGGGGTTATTTGGAGGGGGAGCTGGATCTCTGACTATCCCCCCAGGCCACCCCCACTGAAGATAACTCTTCTTCCTCTTCAGGGAAAGACAGGAGAAGTGGGGCCTCTAGGTGAGAGGGGCCCCCCGGGGCCCCCTGGACCTCCTGGTGAACAAGGTCTTCCAGGCCTGGAAGGCAGAGAAGGGGCCAAGGTGAGACCTGGCCCCATGGGAGATCTTGGTTGAATGGCCCCAAAGTCCCCTCAATGGCCTTTGAGCCATGGACCTCCTGGTGAACAAGGTCTTCCAGGCCTGGAAGGCAGAGAAGGGGCCAAGGTGAGACCAAGGTGGGCCCCATGGGAGATCTTGGTTGAATGGCCCCAAAGTCCCCTCAATGGCCTTTGAGCCATCTCAGGACTCAGAATCAGCCCTGTTGGAGAGGGGTCCAGAGTCACAGACTTGGGGGAACTCTTCCCGGAACCTGAATGTCCTCCTTTACACTTACAGGGGGAACTGGGACCACTTGGGCCTCATGGAAAGGAGGGGCCACCTGGACCCAGGGGCTTCCCTGGCCCCCAAGGATCCCCTGGGGATCTGGTGAGTACCCCATGCATGTGCCTGTTTGGGCTGTGAAGTAGGGGCTCAGGGGAGGGATGTGGCATCATGGGTGGGGGCAACTGCGCAAATAAAGGTGGCAGCTTCAGGGACTTGGAGGGGACAGACTCCCAAACATCAGTACCCAGTCCCAGGAAGGGGATGGGGACTGTGAGCCCTACAGAGTGAAGACAGGACCTGGGGATCCCCTTGGGGGTCTCTTGACTGTGAATCATCTCCTCCTTCAGGGACCTACTGGTTTGAAGGGTGACAAGGGCCCCCCAGGGCCTGTCGGGGCCAATGTAAGTGTAACCCCAACTCCTGGCTGGGGGGCAGGGTAGAGGGGACTCAGGGTATCATGGAAGGTGGGCATTGTTACAATTAAGCCTGCCATGTTGGGAGTCAAACAGGCCTGGATCACACCCGGTTCTGCCATGCACTGCTGGGCAATTGTGTCACCTGGCCAGCTTTAGTTTCCCCATCTGTAAAATAGCTGCAAGGAGAAGCCTCCTCTTGTAGGCATACATTATCATAAGCCTGAATGAGACGATTCATCCAACAAATCTTTTGCTTTGTTTTGGCGCTGACCAGTATAGGGATCCGAACTCTCGACAGCAGGGAGGTGATGGGGGAGGTTTGTGCGGGACCTTGTGGGCCACCAGGAGGGCTATGGCTTTTGCTCTGAGTGAGGTGGGAGCCACCGGGGGCTGTGAGCAGAAGAGGGACGTGCCCCGACCTAGGTGTTCCCAGGCACCCTCTGGCTGCTGCAGGGGGCGTAAAATATTGGATACGATGCTGGTAACCATCGAACTCAGTGCCTGATGCTTGAAAACCCTCCACAAAGGAGAGACAGTTCTACTGTTGTTATTATGCCTGTTTTCAGGGCTCCCCTGGCGAGCGGGGTCCTGTAGGCCCAGCGGGAGGCATTGGGCTTCCTGGCCAAAGTGGAAACCAAGGCCCTGTTGGCCCTGCAGGCGAGAAGGGGTCTCCGGTAAGTGACCTGTCCACCCGCCCCATTCCTCAGCATCCTCAGGACCTGGCCCTCACGATTGGGCTTCCTGGCCAAAGTGGAAACCAAGGCCCTGTTGGCCCTGCAGGCGAGAAGGGGTCCCCGGTAAGTGACCTGTCCACCCGCCCCATTCCTCAGCATCCTCAGGACCTGGCCCTCACATCCCAAGATCCAGCTCCTGCAGCACATTCCTGCCCTGACATTCCCCTTTCCACTCCCCCCATTAGGGAGAGCGTGGCCCCCCTGGTCCCACTGGCAAAGACGGGATTCCAGGGCCCTTGGGGCTTCTGGGACCCCCTGGAGCTGCTGGGCCTTCTGGCGAGGAAGGCGACAAGGTGAGGAGTCCATGGAGAGAGAGAGTCCAGGGAAGGATGAGGGAGTAAGGGGTGGCCGGGTCCTCTCTCATCCTGTCTCCTCTGCAGGGGGAAGTGGGTGCCCCCGGTCACAAGGGCAGCAAAGGCGATAAGGGAGACGCGGTGAGTGGGGGTCCCAGTGAGGGGTGGTCCTTGGAGGGAGGGAGGCCACAGAGCATCCTGCCTTCCTGAGCCCCATCTTGACACCTACGTGCGGGGGAAGTGGGTGCCCCCGGTCACAAGGGCAGCAAAGGCGATAAGGGAGACGCGGTGAGTGCGGGTCCCAGTGACGGGTGGTCCTTGGAGGGAGGGAGGCCACAGAGCATCCTGCCTTCCTGAGCCCCATCTTGACACCTACGTGTAACAGAAGCCCCTTGAGCTCCCTGAGCAAAGGGGCCACAGAACCCAACTGCAGACAGAGTAGCTGGAGCACCAGGAGCAGCAGAGAGGCCCCCAGAGGGTTGCCCGCCCCCTCCTCTTCCTCGTGGCTCCGCATGGCAGTGAGACATTCTATTCCCAGCTTCCCCAGAACTCCAGTGCCCAGCATCTGTGAGCCGGCTCCGTCCCTGGGTCTTGGTGGGGCTTCTGGGGAAAGGTCCTCGTGGACCAAGTTTAGGACATCCGTTGGTGGCTAGGAAGAAAGAGTTGTGGGGAATGGAGCTGTCACTTCCTGGTGGGGGGAGTTTTTCCAACAAGCGGGTGTGGACAGGGAGGCAGGGACTGACATCTCTACTGCCCCCCAATCTTGAACCTGATGAGATTTTCAACTCTGTTCCCTCCCTCAGGGCCCACCTGGACCAACAGGGATACGGGGTCCTGTGGGACACCCAGGTTCCCCAGTGAGTGTTCCAAGCTTTGTGACCTTTTCCCTGGATCCCTGATGGGAAGTGGCAGTGTCTTCCACCCTGACTCAACCCCAACCTCAACCTTGAAGACCATCTCAGCCCCAATCTAAACTCTGCTCATGACCTTTACCTCAATCCCAACTCAAACCTTACCTTCAAATCCTCTACTAACCAAACACTAACCCAGTCTTACCCTCAACCCCAACCATGACCCAAAGGCCAACCCCAAATCTGAACTTGAATATTGAATGTGACCCTGGCCCCAATATTAAACCCTAAATTTCATCTCAACCCTATCTGAACCCTGCTCATGACCTTAACCTCAACCCCAAACCTGACTCACCATCCAACACCCGTCTCAAAACTTTGACTCAACCCTTCATTCTCAAACCCTCTTCGTTTTCTTTTTGGAGGCTGGCCAATACAGGGATCCAAACCCTTGACCTTGGTGTTGTCAGCACTGTGTTCTTACTAACTGAGCTGGCCAGCCCAGCCTCCAAACTCTTTTCTTATCCCAGACCTCAATTCCAAACTCAACCCTGGCCCTCCCGAAACTTAATCCCAGTGCTGACTGTAACCCTTAACCTCAATCCTAACCCTTATCCCTGAACCTGTCTCCAACCCTTGACTCAGACCGTAACTGTGCCCTGTCCCCCTCCTCCTCCCAGGGAGCAGATGGGGCTCAGGGACGCCGGGGACCCCCAGGCCTCTTTGGGCAGAAAGGCGATGATGGAGTCAGAGGCTTTGTAGGCATGATTGGCCCCCCTGGCCTGCAGGTGGGTGTTTGAGTTTGGGGGTGGCACCTTTGGTTCCCCCCGCCCTGTGCCCCAATCTTGCTTCTTTGTTCCACAGGGGCTGCCAGGCCCTCCTGGAGAGAAGGGGGAGGTCGGAGACGTAGGGTCCATGGTATGGACTCCTGGGGAAAGGTGGGAGGGGGAGGGGGGACATCCTTTGGGGTGGTCACCGGGCACATTGTCATTTTAAGGGTCATATGGGACACCAGCATCAAAGGTGATGTCTGTGGTCACTGCATTCTTTTGGGGGGCCATGAGGTCACTGGATACTATTCTGACCCTCCCACAGGGTCCCCATGGAGCTCCAGGTCCTCGGGGTCCCCAGGGCCCCAGCGGATCAGAGGTGAGAACTCTAGGGGGGGCAGGGTGGCTCAGAGATGGGGACACCCATTTTCCAAGAAGGGGCAGTCAGGATTCCATGGTCCCACCCCTACACCTTGCTGTCTCCGCAGGGCCCTCCAGGGCTCCCTGGAGGAGTTGGTCAGCCAGGTGCTGTGGGCGAGAAGGTAAGAGTAGGAGGACGGGGGATGCTCAGGGTGGGAGAGGTAAAACCCATCCCCATTGGGGGTGGTTGTTCTGGGGAGCCCTTCCTTGTATGCCAGGATGGGACCTCTGTTCCCTTTGCCTTCTGCAGGGTGAGCAAGGGGAAGCTGGAGACCCAGGACCCCCAGGATCCCCAGGCATCCCAGTGAGTGACTTGCAATGTGGCCCCTGCACCCATCTCAGGGAACCCCTGATTCCTGGACATCTCAGGCCACCTTGACCTCTGGGCAGTCCTAGGTCATCCACTGACCCAGGACCTGTGGGCATCCTTGGATATCTTGATGAAAAACCAACGTCCGGAAAGTCTCAGAGAGGGCTATGTAGAGTTCTATAGGTTGCACACTGCACAAGAGTCAGGCTGAGGGGGCAGGTGGAAGCTGAAATCTAAACCATGAGCCTTGGCTGGGAGGGGGATGAAGGGGCCCCTTTTCTAATTCGCTCAAGGGCAGCACACGTGCTTGGCTGAACTTGCACATAACCAGTGGGCACCTGGACCATCCTGACTCCTCGCTCTCATAAGTCCTAGGTCCCTATGACCTCTGACCCTTGGACAGCCTAGGCTATTCTGACCCTGACCCCAGAAAGGTCCCAGATCACCCCAATGTCTGAATCCAAGTATGCTAACCCTTGATCCCTGGGGAGTCCAAGCCACTCTGACCTCTGATCTCTGTTTCTGCAAAGGGCCCCAAGGGAGAATTTGGTGAAAAGGGAGACTCAGGCCAATCTGGGGCTCCTGGACCCCCAGGCAAAAAAGGCCCCCCTGGAGAGGATGGAGCTAAAGGGAACGTGGTGAGTGCTGGGGGGAACTGGGGGGTGGGATGGCATTTGAGTACTTGAACCTGTTCCCAAACTTCTAGCCAGGGTTCCCATCCTCCAGTTTACTGGTCCTAGGAGCAACCCAGAATGTGGCTGAATCAATGGATCAATGAATCAATGAATCAATGAAACATAAAAGTACAGTAGTCGTACATCACTGTATGGGGAGAAAATTGATTTCACATTGATTCCTTCTAACAGTGTTGGAAGGCTAAGGTCAAGGTTGATGCTGAAACATAAAAGTACAGTAGTCGTACATCACTGTATGGGGAGAAAATTGATTTCACATTGAGTCCTTCTAACAGTGTTGGAAGGCTAAGGTCAAGGTTGATGATGGGTCACAGTCTGGGTGGATGTGGGATTTGGCATCGGGGTGCAGGTGGAAACCTTTCTGCAATCACAGTGGGGTGTGGGGTGGGGTGGAAGAGCTTCAGATCTGTGGGACCTCACCACCCCTGCCTCCTGCTGTGTCTCTTCTCCAAATGTCAGTTCTCTCTGAGTCCCGAGCTGGGAGGCTGCTGGGTGGATGAAGCGAGAGGATGTGTGTAACATTCTCAGCTCAGTGCCTGGACCCATGAAACACTACAATGTCTGCTCTACCAGGCCAGAGATTCTGTGCTTTGTTTATCAATGTGTCCCCAGCAACCAGAACTGTTCCTGGGTACAGCTGATTTGTTTAATAAGTGAATGACTGCTCAATAATTCAGAGATGTGATTATTAATCATTCTGTGTTCCAGGGCCCTACAGGGCTCCCCGGAGATCCAGGGCCCCCAGGAGACCCTGGAGTTTCGGTGGGTGTGACCCCCTCCCCCCCAAGCCCAGAATATTCCCTAATTCTGTCCCCATCTCCCCAACTCCAGTCTTGGGCAAGTCACTCCCACTTTCCTCCAAGCCCCAGCCCAAATTCTCATGTACCCCCTATGACCCCTCCCAACTCTGTCTCCCCCTCCCCTGCAGGGTATAGATGGTCCCCCAGGGGAGAAGGGAGACCCTGGTGATGTTGGGGGACTGGTGAGTGGAGAACAGAGGATGTGGTGCTGGGGGAGGGGGCTGGGGCAGGTGAATGGGTGAATTGGGGGCCAGAGGAGTGGGTTGGGGAGGTACCCAGAGTCCCTGCAGATGGTTCTGCTTTGCTTCTCTGTCCCGCGCCCCCCATGAATGTGACCAGCTTGAGGGAGGAGGTGGGAGGTGGCCGGTGCTGGAGTGATGTTTGGGGAAGATTGTCTTCTGGTCTGGTTCTGCTTTGCTTCTCTGTCCCGCGCCCCCCATGAATGTGACCAGCTTGAGGGAGGAGGCGGGAGGTGGCCGGTGCTGGAGTGATGTTTGGGGAAGATTGTCTTCTGGTCAAAGACGTCCTGAAACACAGTCATGCTCAACCAAACTTAGCTAATACTAGTGCTGGTGCTGTGACCATCCTTGCAGGGTCCACCCGGTGCTTCTGGGGAACCCGGTGCCCCTGGGCCCCCTGGCAAGAGGGTAAGTGACGACCCCCCTCCTGGCTGCGCTGTTTCCAACCTCCTCCCATGCATCCTACAGCCCCCGCTCACCCCACAGCCCTCCACAACCCCCCACTCATCCCATAGACCCCCGTTAGCCCCACAGACCCCCACTCAAAGCCCCCAAAGCCTCCCATGCACCTCCACAGGGGCCCCTCACACTGACTCTCCCTCCCCAGGGTCCATCGGGCAACATGGGTCGAGAAGGCAAAGAGGGAGAGAAAGGTGCCAAGGTGAGTCCCCACCCTGCTCCAGAGAGTGGTCCCTACGGTGACCCTTGGCCAACGGTTGGGCCATCAGGAGGGAATGGGGCCTGTGACAACCACAGGTGCCCCATTCCCACCTCCTCCATCATGGTTCTTGGTGGGGCGTCAGGAGGCAGGTACCCTCCGACTTTCTGTCCCTCTCTTACCCCCGTCCATTTCAGGGGCAGCCAGGTCCTGATGGGCCCCCAGGGCAGACAGGCCCAGCAGGGGCTCGAGGGCCCCCTGGGCGTGCTGGGCCTGAGGGTCTTCCAGGGATCCCTGGCCCTGTGGTGAGTAGGGCAGGAGCAGAGGTGGACCCGGCCCCTCCCTGCATGCTGCCACCTTGTAACCTCAACACAACCGGGAGGAGCTGGCCCTTGGCAGTGGGGTGTCCACACTGGGGCCTGGCATGGTGCAGTCCCCCCATATTGCCTTCCATTCTCAGGGTGAACCAGGCCTCCTGGGACCCCCTGGACATATGGGCCCTCCTGGCCCCCTGGTAAGAGACTTTTTGTCCCTGAGGTCCCAGTGCTGAGGACCGCACTGGGCATCCAGTGATCATTGGTGTTGGCGGTGTAGTCGGACCCCTCACTGACCACCCATCCAAGTGTCCACACTGGCCATCTACACTCACCATTTATTCTGAGCCCTCATCTTGATGGTCTACACTGACCATCCACACTGACCCTCCATCCTGATGGTCTACACTGACCGCACTACCTTCTATCTTGATGGTCTACACTGACCACCCAACTGATCTTGGCCACTGGCCATTCACACTGGCGACCTCCCAACCAGCTCCTCAATCTGCCTCCTGTCTCCTGACTGCCCCCACGACCACATCTCTGGTAATTCCCATTTGGAATTTGGGTAATTTCCTGTCTGATCGTCCCCGATCACCCACTTGGAGCTTGAGATCTCACATGTCAGAATCACTGACTGACACTTGCTCTCCTGCCAGGGACCTTCCGGCCTTCCAGGGCTGAAAGGAGATGCTGGCTTCAAGGGAGAAAAGGTACAAAGACCTCATTCCATTATGCTTCTCCCCACCAGCTTCCGCCTTTACCTCCCTCCCTGGCCAGAGGGAGGCCGAGAGATTGGGGTGTCCTCTGCTCCCAAACCTATTACTCCAAGGCTCTAAGAGAAAAATCTCTCAGCACCCCCACACCTCTTCCCAACTCTTTTGTCCTCCAGGGCCACATCGGATTAATTGGCCTCATCGGCCCCCCTGGGGAGGCTGGAGAGAAAGGGGATCAGGGGTTGCCAGGCGTGCAGGGGCCCCCTGGCCCCAAGGGAGACCCTGTGAGTGTGTGTCCTGCCCCGGGTGGGAAGAATGTGTTCAAAGGAGGGTGCAGCTTGCGGGGGTCACAGATAATGGGGCCTATTTGGAGACAGTGGGTGTGGAGTCTGGGAAGTCTGGGTCTGGAATGATGGGGGTTATGTCTGGGGAAAATGGGGGCTGTATCTGGGGACTTGGCAGGTTGGGGGCTGTGTCTGGGGTTTGGGTTCTTCCTTGGAGAGAATTGGAGGCTTGGTGGGAGATGTGTCTGGGCAATAGAGCTGTACCCCACCAATACTGAACCTATGTCCCTCCTCCAGGGTCCTCCTGGTCCCATGGGCTC